ATGCGGTCTTTACGAGGGAACAAGGGAAGGGTCACACATCCTGTGTTCACAGAACTAATTCATCTGCCGTGAGACATAATTATACTGGATACTGTTTTATAATGCTTTGAGCAGTTTGCTGCTTTGGGGGCAGTTTTCCGCTCTGGGGGGCTGACTAGGTTTCCCTTGCTGTCACTCTCAATAGGATTTCTCAGAAAACAATATGATTTTTCACACATGTCAGAATTTGCTCTCAACAACACTGCTATGAACATCAGTGTATAAATGTGTGAGGCCCTTTGAATTGTAAGGGGTACATACCCAGAAGTGGAAATGCTGGATTATATGGTAATCCTTTGTTTCGAGACAGAGTCTTGCGCTGTCACCCAGGGTGGAATGCAGTGGTGCAATCTTGGCTCCCTGCAACCTCTGCCTCCTGGGTTCAAGTGATTCTTAACCCTCAGCCTCCCGAGTAGTTGGGATTACAGGCCTGCACCACCACACCTGGCTACTTTTTGTGTTTTTAGTAGAGATGGATTTCACCACATTGGCCAGACTGGTCTTGACCTCCTAGCCTCAAGTGATTCACCTGCCCCAGCCTTGCAAAGTGCTGGGATTACAAGTGTGTGCCACCACGCCTGGCTTGTTTTTAACTTTTTGATGAAAAGTTTAAACACTGTTTTCCATAGCTACAGCTCCGTTTTAAACTCTTAGTAAGAGTACACAAGGCTTCCAGCCACTCAGCATCCTCGCTAACACTTTATTTTCTGCATGGATTATAACCATCCTAATGAGTCTGAGGTGGCCTCGCCATATAGGTCTTCTTTCTTTCTTTTTTTGAAATGGAGTCTTGCCGGGCGCGGTGGCTCAAGCCTGTAATCCCAGCACTTTGGGAGGCAGAGGCGGGTTGATCACAAGGTCAAGAGATCGAGACCATCCTGGTCAACATGGTGAAACCCCGTCTATACTAAAAATACAAAAAATTAGCTGGGCATGGTGGTGCATGCCTGTAATCCCAGCTACTCGGGAGGCTGAGGCAGGAGAATTGCCTGAACCCAGGAGGCGGAGGTTGCGGTGAGCCGAGATTGCGCCATTGCACTCCAGCCTGGGTAACAAGAGCAAAACTCTGTCTCAAAAAAAAAGAAATGGAGTCTTGCTCTGTCACCCAGGCTACAGTGCAGTGGTGCAATCTTGGCTCACTGCAACCTCTACCTCCCAGGTTCAAGCAATTCTCCTGCCTCAGCCTCCTGAGCATCTGGGACTTCAGGCACATAGCACCACACCCAGCTAATTTTTCTATTTTTAGTAGAGATGTGGTGTTACTATGTCTGCCAGGCTGGTCTCAAACTCCTGACCTCAAGTGATCTGCCCACCTCGGCCTTTCAGAGTGCTGGGATTACAGGCGTGAGCCAGCATGCCCAGCCTCTCCACGTGGTTTTGGTTTGTTTCCTTAATAGTGATGGTGAGCATCTTTTTATGTGCTGATTGGCCATTTGCATCTTTTATTTGGAGGACTGTCTATTCACGTCCTTTGAGCATTTTTGAACTGCCTTGGTGGGGTTTTGTTGTTGCATTGTGAGAGTGATCTCGTCTGATCTCGGAAGCTAACCAGAGTCGGGCCTGGTTAGTACTTGGATAGGAGAAAAACAAGAGTTTATAGCTTCAGATCTTACACTTGGGTCTTTGATTCATTATCTATTCTAGATGGGAGCTCTTTGACATGTAATTGGCACATCTGTCATTCCGTAGGTTGCCTTTTAAGTCTGATAATAGCATCCTTCAATGCAATCCAATCTGTCTACTTTTCCTTTTGTTGTTTGGGCCTTTGGTGTCATATCTAAGAAATCATGGACAAAGGAAGCTCTCCTTCTATGTTTTAAGAGTTGTCAACTGGAAACAGTGGCTCCCGCCTATTATCCCAGCACATTGGGAGGCTGAAGAAGATGAATCACAAGGTCAGATGTTCAAGACCAGCCTGACCAAAATGCCCTGTCTCTACTAAAAATACAATAATTAGCTAGGCGTGCTGGTGGCTGCCTGTAATCCCAGCTACTTGGCAGGCTGAGGCAGAGAACTGCTTGAACCCGGGAGCCGGAGGTTGCAGTGAGCCAAGATCATGCCACTGCACTCCAGCCTTGGTGTCAGAGTGTGACTCTGTCTCAGAAAAACAAGAGTTGTATACCACCCTGAACGCGCCCGATCTCGTCTGATCTCGGAAGCTAACCAGAGTCGGGCCTGGTTAGTACTTGGATAGGAGAAAAACAAGAGTTTATAGCTTCAGATCTTACACTTGGGTCTTTGATTCATTACTGAGGTTTTTTTTTTTTTTTTTACATGATATAAGGTAAGGCTTTAACTTCATTCTTTTGCCTGTATATATCTAGTTTTACCACACCATTTGTTGAAAGACTGTCCTTTCCCTGACTGAAAAATCTTGGCATCCTTATTGAGCTCATTTGACCATATGTGTAAGAGTTTCCTTCTGCACTCTGTATTCCACTCCACTGGTCTCTCTGCATGTCTTTACTCCCATACCACACTTTTGACCACTGTAGTTTTGTTTTGTTTTGTTTTTTTGAGACAGAGTCTTGCTCTGTCACCAGGCTGGAGTGCAGTGGTGTAATCTTGGCTCACTGCAACCTGTGCCTCCTGGGTTCAAGGGATTCTTCTGCCTCAGCCTCACGAGGTGGGACCATAGGCATGTGCAACCACACCTGGCTGATTTTTGTATTTTTAGTAGAGATGAGGTTTCATCACGTTGGCCAGGATGGTCTTGATCTCTTGACCTCATGATCTGCCCACCTCAGCCTTTCAAAGCGCTAGGATTACAGGCTTGAGCCACCATGCCCAGCCCCCTGTAGCTTTTAGAAATACATTTTGAAATTGAGAAGTAAAAGATTTCCCACTTCGTTACTTTTTCAAGATTGCTTTGGCCATTTGAGATCTCTTGAAATTGTGTATAAACTTTACACAATTTATAAGGATGGATTTTTCTATAATTGAAGAAAAAATGTCACTGAGATTTTGAGAGCAATTAAACTAAACCTGGAGATCACTTTGAGTCGTATTGACATCTTAATGAAACTAAGCCTTTTAATACATGAATATGAGATGCCTTTACATTTGTTACATAACCGGTCTCTGGAACTCAAAATCCTGCCAGTCTTTGCCTCCTGGTTGAATTTATTCCTTTTTATTTATTTATTTATTTTTGGATGCTATTGTAAACTGACTTTTTTTTTTAAGATAGTGTCTCACTATGTTGCCCAGGCTGGGGTACACTGGCTATTCACAGGCATAATCATTATAAAAACTGACAGCACTGACCTCGCAGGCTCAAGCGATTCTCCTACCTCAGCCTCCCAGTAGCTGGGACTATAGGCATCCACAACCAAGCCAGCAGGAACTGTTTTCTTAATTTCCTTCTTGGATTGTTGACTGTTAGTGTGTAGAAATGCAACTGACGTCTGTATGTTGATTTCATAATCCTGAAACTTGGACAAATTATTAGTTCTAACAGTTTATTTTGTACAATCTTCAGGATTTTCTACAAAGATGATTATATCATTTGTTAACAGAAAATTCGACGTCTTCCTTTCCAATCTCGATGTCTTTTCTTTTTCCTTTCTCTAATAGCCCTGGCTAGGATTTCCAGTATTATGAAAGCAGGCATCATTGTTTTATTACTCATCTTGGAAAACTTTGTCTCTCATCATTGAGAATGATACTAGCTGGAGGTTGTTCATATGACCTTTATTACATTGAGGTTGTTCCGATTTCTAGTCAGTATATTTTTAATCATGAAAGGATATTAAACTTCACTAAATGCTTTTTCTGTACTAATTGAAACAAATTGTCATGCGTTTTCTTTCCTTCATTCTGTGAATGTGGTATCTTACTCTAATGTTTACATGGTAACCACCTTTCGATTCCAGGGATAAATCTTATTTGATCATGTTGTATAATCCTATGATGCTGTTGAATTCTCACTAGTATATTCTCGAGCACTTTGCATCTGTATTGATTGGGAATAGTGGTGCGTTTTCTTCTGCTGCTTTGTGTTTGCAATCAGTAATGCTGGCCTCACAGAATGAGTTTGGAGGTATTCTTTCCTCAGCATTTTGGAAGAAGATGAGCAGGATTGGCATTGATTCTATAACTGTTTGGCACAAGTCACCCATGAGGCCATCCGTTCTTGTACTTTCTTGTCAAGTTTGTGGTCACTGATTCATCTTCTATTTTATTTATTTCTGTTCTAACCTTCAGTGTTTCCTTCCTTCTCCTAGCTTTGGGTTTAGGCTGTTCTCTTTCTAATAATTTAAGGTACAAAGTTAGGATTGTGGTTTGAGAGCTTTTCCTTTTTCTTTTATTTGAGAGGTCTTGCCACTTGCTGAGTTAGTCTCAAACTCCTGGCCTCAGCCTTCCAAGTAGATGGGATTATAGAACAGTGTCACTATTCTGGCTGCTGCTGCTTTTTTGTGTGGGGGGGTGGGGGGGAAATGGAGTCTAGCTGGAGTCTAGTGTCTCCCAGGCTGGAGTGCAGTGGTACAATCTTGGCTCACTGCAACCTCCTTCTCATGGGTTCAAATGATTCTCCTGCCTCAGCCTCCCAAGTAGCTGAGATTACAGGTGCTTGCCAGCACACCTGGCTAATTGTATGTTTTTAGTAGAGATAGGGTTTCCCCATGTTAGCCAGGCTGGTCTGAAACTCCTGACATCAGGTTATCTGCCTGTCTTAGCCTCCCAAAGTGCTGGGATTACAGATGTGAGCCACCACCTCCAGCCAGCTTTTTTTAAATGTAAGTGTGTACAGCTATAAATTCCCTTCATAGCACTGCTTTTGTTGCATCCCATAAGATCTGATACATTGTTTTGTCTCAAAATGCTTTATAATTTTCCTTACTATTTTTCTTTGACCCATAGTTTTGTAGTATGTTGTTTTCATAGATTTGTGAATATTCCAGTTTTCCTTCTGCTATTATAATTTCAGTCATTTAAAATGTATTAAATCTTGCTTTCAGGCCTAATGATCTTCTCAGAGAACATTCCACACGTACTTTGAAGAATGTGTATTCTGCTGCTGGGTGAACCCATCTGTGTATGTCTGGTAGGTCCAATTCATCTATAGTATCCTTCAAGCTCTCAGTTTCCTTCTTGATCTTGTCTGTGTGTTGTCTCCATTACTGAAAGTCAGTTACTGGGCCAGGCACAGAGGCTCATGCCTGTAATCTCAGCACTTTGGGAGACCAAGGTGGGTGGATCACTTGAGGTCAGGAGTTCAAGATCAGCCTGGCCAACATGGCGAATCCCTGTCTCTACTAAAAATCGCTGGGCCTGGTGGCATGCACCTGTAATCCCAGCTACTCTGAGTCAGAGGCACGGGAATCACTTGAATTCAGGAGGTTGCAGCTGCACTCCAGCCTGGGAAACAAAGATTCTGTCTGGGGGAGGCGGGGAAGTGAGGTGTTGAGATTTCCTACAGTTTTCATAGAACTGTCTGTCTGTCCTTTCATTGTGTCAGTGTTTGTGTCATATATTTAGGAGCTCTGAGGTGCGTTGCATGTACCTTTATAACTGTTGTTGCATCTTTTTGGCAAATGGACTCTTGTTATCTCTTACAACAGCTTTTGACCTTAAGTCTATTTAGTCTGAGATTAATCTAGCTCCTCTTCCTTTTTTCAGTTACCATTTCCATGGAGTATCTTTTTTCATCCTATGTGTAAGTCTCTTACTGTCTTTAGATTGTGGAAATAATTTGCATTTTTAAAGATTAACATCTGATGAAACTCAATAGCCTGGTGGGTGACTGTGCCATGAGGCCCACAGCCAGGGACTAAGGTGAGCAGTTGTTCTGGGAAGGCTCCAGCACACCATTTACGGGGCCTCCCTGTGCCACTCCGTGGATCGTTTTCTCTCTCATTTCCTTCCTTCTGCCTTCCTTTGTGTTTGATTTTTTTTGTGTGACACACTTAGAATGCCTTCTCACTTCCTTCTGTGTACATGCTGTAGATATTTTCTTTGTAATTACCACGAGGATTATATAAAACATCCTGAAGTTATAGCAATTGATTTTAAACTAGTAAGTTCAATCACATACAAATACTCTCCTCCTGGACAGCTCTGCACCATCCTGTGTTGTTGATGTTACAAAGTATATCTGTATTTTAGAGAGAGAGTCTCACTCTGTCACCTAGGCTGGAGTGCAGTGTCACTGTCATAGTTCATTGTAACCTGAAGCCCCTGGACTGAAGTGATCCTCCGTAGCTGAGACTACGAGTGCATGCCACCATGCCTAATATTTTAAAATAAATTACATATTTAACATAGGCTTATGGTCACACATCTCTTTTAAATCCAATAAAATAATTAAAAGCAGATGTGAATCAAAATTCCAGTAGTACAGGTCTTTATATGTGGCTTCAAATGTCCACCTAGCATCTAGGACTCCCTTCAGCATTTCTTGTAGGAGGGGTCCCAATGTAATGAACTATCTCAGCTTTTGTTTATCTGAGAATGTCTTAATTTCTCTGGTCAGGTGCTAGGTGGAAGGATCACATGAGGTCAGGAGTTCGAGACCAGCCTGGCCAACAGGGTGAAACCCTCTCTCTACTAAAAATACAAAAACATGGTGGTGGATGCCTGTAATCCCAACTACTTGGGAGGCTGTACCACTGTACTCCAGCCTGGAGGACAGAGCAAGACCCTATCTCGAAAAGATAAGAAAAAAAGAATATTAAGACATTTTTTATTATGAGGGTTCATAACATGCCTTTATTTTGTAACTTACAACCACCTTTAAATTTGTCCTTCAAAATTCAACTAATTGGTGACTGCCTTTCTTAAATACTTCACTGGTGTCCAAGAGAGGGGAAGAATTTAGCCATTGATTTAAAATAAACAAATCCAGCCAGACATGGCGGCTCACACCTGTAATCCCAGCACTTTGAGATGCCAAGGCAGACCTTTGAGACCATTCCGGCCAACATGGCGCAACCCCATCTCCACTAAAAACACAAAAAAATTAGCGGGGCGTGGTGGCACATGCCTGTAATCCCAGTTCCTCAGGAGGCTGAGGCAGGAGAATTGCTGGAACCCGGGAGGAGAATGTTGCAGTGAGCTGAGATTGCTCCACTGCACTTCAGCCTGGGTGACAGAGCGAGACTCTGTCTCAAACAAAGAAACCCTAAGAGGAAGACAGAGGACCTTGACTACACATAATACTCCATTTTCACCCTGTGGCTATAAAGCTTCTGAGTTCCTGTCCTCCCAGATGTTCTGTGATGGCTGTAGTAGCTGACAGTTTTGTATTTACACAGTCAGAAGAATGAGTGCTTCTGCTTGATTCCAGATTCTCCCAGCTTCCCGTGGAGCCACACCGCCTCCTGTCTTGGCACTTCATAAGTCCAATGCTGCTTCCCGAGAGGATCTGGTTGGCAGACCATGACCTTGATTCCTGCCTCCAAGCCTCACTTGTTGGCACTAGAACAGTGCTTCTTATAGTGCACTCATCAGCGGATGCTGAAGTCACAACCTGGCCATTTGGATGTTCAGCTAATGCTTTATGCCGCGGAGTCCCTGCCACTCACCAGCCCGTGCCGGAACTCACTGGAGCTCAGGTGTGTAACACTACCTTGTTTCTCTGTGGCTGGGAGTGCAAACATTGGTCATGCATTTATTTCCCATTTTTAACTTTGAAGGTTTTGTTTTGTGGGATGAGGTCCCACCCTGTCATGCAGCCAGGAGTGTAGTCATGGCTCACTGCAGCCTTGACCTCCCAGGTTCAAGCCATCTCACCTCAGCCTCCCAAAGTGCTAGGAATACAGGCGTGAGTCACTGCACCTGGCCTACTTTTGAGCTTTGAGTCCTTGGTCTGATAGGTGGTTTGTAAACGTTTTTCCCAATCTGTAGTTTATCTTTCCATCCTCCTAATTGAGTCTTTCAGAAATCAAAAATGTGGTCTCCCTTGCAGATATTCTGCCCCTGTAGAAAAAAAGCAGACACAGACAGTATGTAAATGAACATGTGGATGTGTCCCTTAAGTGAGTGTCCATTTGTGATAAAGAGATCTCTAGACAGATCACTGCTGAGAGGTTATTTCATTAAGTAATAGTTGAGCTTGGGATCATCTCTAATCTCATGCTTACTTTCTCTTACTCCACTGTCTTCTGTTGCTGCTGGTGGGAAAGGAATTGTCAACATGCTCTTCCTTCTTCCCACCCACCTCAGTAGTTTTTAGGACCGGTTCTCTGTCTGCTCTGCATTGTGTTTGGATGGGTCTAGGTATGGATGACTTATTGTATTGGGGATTGTGCCTCCTGACTCTAAAGGGTCCTGGGTCCTGTTTTCATTCTGGAATTTTTCTTGAGACAGACTCTCATTCTGTCACCAGGCTGGAGTGTAGTGGCAAGATCTTGGCTCACTGCCACCTCCACCTTCTGGATTCAAGAATTTCTCCTGCCTCAGCCTCCCGAGTAGCTGGGATTAACTGGAATTAAAGGCACACACCACCACTCCTGCCTAATTTTTGTATTTTTAGTAGAGATGGGTTTTCACCATATTGGCCAGGTTGGTCTCAAACTCCTGACCTCAGGTGATCCATTCGTCTTGGCCTCCCAAGTGCTGGGATTACAGGGATGAGCCACCACACCTGGCCTGGAATTTCTTTAAGACATGTTAGATCCTCTCGTTTCATCCTCCCTTTGTCATATTTTCCACTTGATTAAGTTTTTAGGTTTTAAATGTCTATGAATGGCAGCCACTAATTCTGGCATCTGTAGCTCTTGGAGGTCCGCTCCTCTTGTTGATACTGACCTCTATGCCCTTTTACTGGGGCTTTGGCTGTGGCAATCATATGCAGCACTGGCTAAAGAATCTCAAGGTAGCTAGTGTTAGATCTGAACTAGAGGTCCGCCCTGGTAGTGGGGACAAACCCCCACACGTTTGCTCACAGAAGTCATCTTCTGTGTTGATGATGATTTTTGCAATATGAGAGCAGAGGGAAAACGGGCTGAGCATTTTCTCTAAACAGGAGTGGACATTCAAATCCCTCGTGAGGCTGGGCATGGTGGTTCAAGCCGGTCATCCCAGCACTTTGGGAGGCTGAGGCAGGTGGATCACCGGAGGTCAGGAATTCATGACCAGCCTGACCAACACGGCAAAACACCATCTCTACAAAAACACCTGCCTGTATTTTGGGGCAGGAATATTGCTTGAACCTGGGAGGTGGAAGCTGAAATGAGGCAAAATTGTGCAACTACAGTTCAATAAAAGATAGGATTGACTCACAGTTCTACAGGCTGTACAAACACAGCTCCAGCATCTGGTGAGGCCCCAGGAAGCTTAAAATCATGGCATAAAAAGGAGGGGGTGCAGAGAGAGAGAGGAGATGCCAGGGTCTTTATAAACAAAGCTCTTATGTGAACTAACGCTTCACCAAACGGAGGGTGCTAAGCCATCCATGAGGGATGTACCCCCTCTAACAAATGTGAGATTTGGAGAGGACACATATCCAAGCTCTGTCAGGCTGTAAATGCTTTGTTTTGACTCTAATTATTTGTCATCTCTGGTAAGAGAGACAGCCTCCGGATGGAAGGCAGATGCCAGACAGTGGGCAGAGTGCCAGCCAGCTGGGGCAGCTTATTGCACTGTGGAGGAGGGGCCAGGGACGTGAAGCTGCAGGCACACAGGTGGACGTAGGTGGCCTCCAGAGTGCAGGCAGGCGCCACAGGGGTCCTGCACACACAGGCTGAGGAATGGTGCAGGGTCCACCTGAAATCAGGGTCCCAGTCACTGTCCCTACCCTGGGGAGTGGCATGGAAGAGGGGCCAGATTGGGGAAAGGGCTTTCTCTGACCCAGAGGCCAGGCTCACACTCACCACCCAGAAATTCCCCAAGCTGGAGCGGGGGTCCTGGAAGAAGGTCAGGTAGGCAGGGCTCTGTCCTGTGCAGGCCTGCTGAGTCTTCTCGGTGGCCCTGCAGTCACCCATCCACCTGGCAGGACAGACACAAGACTCAGGCCTCCCACTGGACCATGTGGCTCCCGCACATACATCAGCCTCAGCAGGAGACTGCCCCCAACCCTGGGCCTGCAAAGACCTCTGCAGAGCCAGCAGGCCACCTGCCTCTCCTGGGACTGCAGTGAGCAGCCCTCAAGAGCCTCAGCAGGAGGGAGAAAGGGCAGGTGTACCTGCTCACCTGCCAGGTCAGGCTGAGCTCCTCCAGGCTGCAGGCCACAGAGCCATCCGGCAACATCAGCTTATTGCCTGCTTCATTGTCATTGGTGCCCAGAAGGCCAGCAGATATGCCTGTGGGGAGGAGGGAAGCTGAGGAGGTCCTGAAAGCCCGTGATCCTCCCCTAGGGGACCTGTATGAGAGACGAGCCTGAGGCACATGGAGGATTGGTAGAATTCCTCCACCCCGGACTCCTGGAGCCCAGGGCTCTGGCTTCATACTCTTATCAAAGGAGGGAGAGAAAACAGGGACTAAGGACAGCATCTGTCCCCCATCCCCTCTCCACGTCCTCAGCTTGAGTGTCTGGAATCCAGGCCCCTCTTTGTATTCCTTGGCAGAAGGACCACAAAGTCAAACTCCACCTTGGAGCCACTTATCCCAGAGATGGGGGCAGAAAGCCCTGAGCCTCAGTGTCATCATATCAACCACAGTCACTGCCTATAGCCCAGGGACCTGTCACACTGGAAGCTGAGAATGGTGCCTCCCAAAGAGGCTTTTGGTGGTGGGGCCAACCACACCAGGGCCCAGACTCACCATGGTGCCAGTGGCCCAGAGTCAGGCAACAGAGACTGGTGGGCACATCACAGGAGATGGAGACCCCATTCTTACTGGCCAGCTCAATCCTGGGGACGTCCCTCCTTGTCATGGCAGGAGGCAGCTGGAGGTCTGGACAGCTCTTCCCTGGCAGGGAGTTGTACAGCCTGTAGGCCAGAGCAGGTGGGCAGGAGGGCTGACCCACAGCCAGGGGAAAAGCTTGAAAGAAAAAGCCATCACCCCAGGCAGCCTGTCACAGGCACAGGTCTCCAGGGGAAGCCTCTCCTGGTCACCTGCAGGCTGGAGTAGAAGATGAGGGTCACGTGGATGAGCTCCACAGTCAGGACTGTGAGCCCCAAACCTGTCAGACTCAGCATCAGGGAGAATGTGTTGTGAGCAGTCTCAGGACAGCAGGATGCTGCCGCACTAGGCGCTGAGGTCCCACCCCCAGCCGTTGAAAGTCGCCATGTGCTGGGACCCGGTCACCAGGGCATGGTCTGGGGAGAAGCAGCCCCAAAGGCAGGGTGAATGGAGCCAGCTCCACCCACCCACATGGTGGCGCTTAATGCACTCTCTCGTGCATTAAGAACAATACATGCCCCTTACCCATACGAGTGAGCCACGTGGTTACCTGCCTTTCACAGTGGAGGAAGCTGAGTCCACAGAGGTTAGGAGACTCACCTGAGCCACACACAAGCTCCCCAGGTGCCCAGAGCCAGTCATCCCAGTACTGCCCTTGGCTGCACTGCTGGGCCAGGCTTTATATTCTGGAGAAAAACAGGATGTGCAGCCTCAGCCCTAGTCCCATAGGACCTTGGGAAGTCCAGTAAGCTCTGGGCCTGGCACTGTGATGCCATGAGCCTCTGCAGGCTTCCCTGTGCCCCCGCTGCTGTGCCCACAGGGCAGGGGGCTTCTAGGGAGGAGGGCAGCACAGCCTGGGGCAGGACCCACACTCCCAGAGACCCTGCAGCAGGTGGCATCTGAGCCAGTAGAACTCGGCCAGCAAGTTGGCCCTGGAAAACTCAGAGCAGCCGCAGCAGCTTCTCCTCCACCAGGTAGCTGGTCACCCAGGCCATGTGCAGGGGCTCATCCCCCTGAGGCAGCAGTGGCAATGTCACCACCACTGAGTAGTTCCTAGAGGGAACGCACAGGACAAGTCACCATGCCTGGCTGAGGCTTGCTTCCTTTGGCTGCAGAGCGGGAGCTCACAGGTCCACAGGAAGAGCTCTGCCATGGAGAGCATTAAGGTGCCTCTTGGGGGGGGGGGGGGGCGGCTGTCCTTGTTTTAGGAAATCCCATAATAATGGAGGAGCACAGAGGCCCACATGACAGTGGAGGTGGGGGGCGAGGCCTGGGCAGAAACAAGCTGCCCTATTTTGAGGACACAGATGTCTGATGTGATGTCTGATCTGCCCCCTGGGTCTTGGGCAGCATGGGGCCTGTGTGTGGGGATGCCAAGGACAGGAGCTGGAAGGTGTAGGGAATTGCTGTGTTTTTTGAGACAGAATCTCATTCTATCTCCCAGGCTTGAGTATAATGGTACTATCTTGACACTGTGACCTCTGCCTCCTGGGTTTAAGTGAGTCTGCTGTCTCAGCTTCCAGAGTAGCTGAAACTACAGGCACTCGCTGCCATGCCCGGCTAATTTTTGAATTTTTAGTAGAGTCAGGGTTTCACCATGTTGGCCAGGCTGGTCTCAAACTCCCAACCTCAAGCGATCTGCCCAAAGTGCTGAGATTACAGGCATGAGCCCGTGTGCCTGACCGACAGGCTAGGAAATTTCTACAGTTGAGAGGACTGGAACTTTCTCAATATGCAGAGTAGGGTCAAGCCTGTGAGATCTGAATGATGAGGGAGATCTCAGCTCACATGGGGGTGGAGTGGGAAGAGGAACACTGCATATCCTGTAAATGGGCCGGTGAGGGGGAGGGGCTGGTAGCCTCACTTACCTTCTAGGGAGCCCAGAAACCCTGCAGCTGGCAGGAACCTGCTTCAACACCTCGTTGCCAGTTGAATCCATTTTTTGGCACCCCCATCGGATCATACTCACCAGGTAGGTGAATTACCAGGCAGGTGATTCTTCAACCAAGCCAAAGCCCCAGCCTGGGAGCTCTTCCCTTCCTCAGCCTAAATTCTGACCAAAAGGCAGCAGGAACTTGTATTACATGGAGCCTTTTCTTCATGATCCAGGTTTAGTCCTATTCTGCAGCTGGGGAAACAGAGGCACACAGAGCCCATGCAGAGGAATCCCAGTAAGAGGCAGAGCTAGAGTCCAGATGTTCTGCAAGGCCACCAGCATGGAAGAAGCGGGCGGCCTGGAGCCTGGTTCCTGGTAGGCCTCATGGCTGTGAGGGAGAAGGATATTGGGTCCCCAGGCCCCTGCTCTCGACTGGATTCTCCATTTCTATCCACTACCCCCGTGTTCTCAACACAGGGACCAAAGGGGCCTTTTGAAGTGAAAGGGTGATCACATCCTTCCTAGGTCAGAGCAGAAGCCAGAGTCCTCCCGCCGAGAGCCTTGGGACCTCCCAGTAGCATCAGCCCCACCATCTTGCTATTCAAACAGGCCAGGCATGGTGCCTTATGCCCATAATCCCAGCACTGAGTCTCCGGAGTCCAGGATTCTGAGACCAGCCTGAGTAATATAGTGAAACCCCATCTCTACTAAACATACAAAAATTAGCCAGGTATGGTGGCAAATGCTTGTAATCCAAGCTACTTGGGAGGCTGAGGCAGGAGAATCACTTGAATTTGAGAGGCAGAGTTTGCAGTGAGCTGAGATCACACCCCAGCACTCCAGCCTGGGTGACAGAACGAGACTCCATCTCAAAAACAAACATGCCAGGCACATCCCTCTCCCAGGCCTCTTGCAGTGGTGCCCCCACCTGGAGCTCTCTTCCCACACTGGCCCTATGGCCACACCATAGGGATCCCCAGCTCACCATCTCACCAATGTTCTTTCTCTAGCATTTGCCACCTAATGTGTGGCTCAGTGGTAGTAAATGATGAGCAGTGGGCCACACGCAGCCTGTGGTTGGCTTCTGCACGGCCTGCAAGAAAAAAGGGCTTTTATGTGTTTAAAAGATTACAAAACAGGCCGAGGGTAGTGGCTCATGCCTGTAATCCCAATACTTTGGAAGGCCAAGGGGATTGTATCACTGAAGTTCAGGAGTTTGAGACCAGTCTGGAGTGGCAAAACCCCGTCTCTACTAAAAATGCAAAAAATGAGCCAGGTGCAGTAGTGCACACACTGGTAGTCCTGGCAGCTGAGGACGACCGAGACAGCTCTCACTGTCCCCTCCCTTTCCAGGTGGCCCACCAGATGCTGTCCTGGGCTGAGGCCACATTCTCATGGGCACTGAAGAGGCTCTGCAAACCCCTGCTGGACCTGTATGGCCTCGCAGCCAGGTAACGCTGGGTTGGGAGTGGCACATCTGGCGTTCCTGCCACATTTCAGGTGCAGTGCTGAATTCTTTGACACGCTCTGACTCACTGACTACTGACCACCCTGCACAGGGGGTTTTTCACTCCCCATTTCACAGGAGAGGAAGCTTTAACAGAGGCGGCAGAGGCTGCAATTAGCTGAGATCACAGCACTGCAACAGAGCGAGACTCCGTCTCAAAAAAAAAAAATTACAAAACAAAAGCAAGGAAATGTGACAGCGCAGAATGTCCTGCTTAAGAAGTGACTCTCAGGCGCTCTGCAGGGAGCTGTGCACACCCTGCTGTAGATGACTTCTTGTGCTTGGTGTCTGTCTCTGAGTAAAACAGCTTCCTGAAGGCAACCTCATTGCGCTCCTCTGCAGCAGCTCCTAGAATCCTGCCTGCACTGGGACTGTGCTCACGAGGTCTCTGTGGAGTGAGGAAGAAACCTCAGCTTCCTCTCCTGTGAAATGGGGAGTGAAGAAGCCTCTGTGCAGGGTGGTCAGTAGTCGGTGAGTCAGAGCGTGTCAAAGAATTCAGCACTGCACCTGAAATGTGGCAGGAACGCCGGATGTGCCACTCCCAACCCAGCGTTACCTGGCTGCGAGGCCCTACAGGTACAGCAGGGGTTTGCAGAGCCTCTTCAGTGCCCATGAGAATGTGGCCTCAGCCCAGGACCGCATCTGGTGGGCCACCTGGAAAGGGAGGGGACAGTGAGAGCTGTCTCGGTCGTCCTCAGCTGCCAGCCATGCCCCATCCTTGCTCTCAGTCACCAGCTCCAGGGTGCCTTTCACAGCCCCCGGGGCCATACTGATGGGGCTGGGACCCCAGTTGCCTGGCATCCTGGGCACCCAGGCCTGCAGCCACCACATGGCCTCCTCTGCCCGCTCCTGCCACACCTTCTCCAGGCGCTGCAACATCACCTCCAGGTAGGAGTCCTTCATTGTGGCCAGGGGCCTTTCAGTGGGCAGCTACCACCCACCATGAGGCCTCTGGGCAGCTCAGAGGCCCAGCCCAGGCCTCGAGGAGACAGGGCCTGTTCCTGGGATTAAAATGGTGGAGGGAGTGGGGGAAAAGGAATAGAGCAGCAGGCAGTGGAGGTTGTGGGTGAATTGTCACAGCAGACCCGAGCCGCCTCTGCAAGGCCTGCTCCTAGCTTGTCTGGGAACTTGGATTGGGGGAGGGTTCCACCACTCCTAGAAGTGATACGAGGCGCTCGGCACCTGAACTGTTTGTACAAACGTGGTTTATGCCGGACCCCTGCTCGCCTCCTAGGAGTCTGAATGTGCTCTGAGCCAAGCAGCACCTGCCAATGTGGCAGCCCCACCAAACACCCTGGGTGACAGTGTTGGGACAGCCAAGTACATCCCGTGTGAAGGTGCAAGGACTGGGAGAGGACAGTGGGTGCTGGCCCTCGTTCCCCCTCACTCCTGCCTCCTCTCACTGTTGTCAATGACAGCCACAAACAGCACAGCGTGCCGAGTCCTGTAGCACTCTTTCAAATTCACTGCCCTGTGGGTGGCCATGGGACTCTGGCACAGCAAAGAGGATGCAGAGGTGACATTCAACAGCCAGTCAGAGGGACGCCCACCCTGGCACTGGGCAGGGTCTTAGCCCCAGATGGTGGGGAGGCCACAAGTTCCTAGTCCTGCCAAGAGGGCAGTCAGGGCAGCCACTGTGAGCATTTAACGACCACAGAGCCACAGAGAGCTCATCGTGGAACCAGAAAGAGACCCTGTAGCAGTGAGCTTCACAGAAATGAGGCTGTACACTCAAAGCAGGTGGAAGACTGAAAAAACCGAGGCAGCAGACATAAGGGGTTTTAGGTTGGAGACCTTGTAAGAATGAGACAGCCACCCACGAAAAAAAAGGTTGGGCCAGGAGCGGTGGCTCACACTTATAATCCCAGCACTTTGGGAGGCTGAGGCCGGTGGATCACAAGGTCAAGAGATCAAGACCATCCTGGCCAAAATGTTGAAACCCCATCTCTACTAAAAATACAAAAATGAACCAGGCTTTGTGGTGCATACCTGTAGTCCCAGCTACTTGGGAGGCTGAGGCAGGAGAATTGCTTGAATACCGGAGGCAGACGTTGCAGTGAGCCGAGATCGTGCCACTGTGCTCCAGCCTGGTGACAGAGCGAGACTCCATCTCAAAAAAATAAACCAACACCATTTGCAGGACTGGATGTGAAAAGGAAAAAAAAATGTACAAGGTTAATGTGTGCTGTAGGAGAACCACTACCTGTTCAGCTGCTGAGCACACCATGATTCCTAACTCGGCAAAAGAACCCCCACTCTGGGAAAAACTAAAAATGAACTACTGTTCATAAAATGCATTTTTACGGTTGGAAATCTGTTTCCCAAGCCCTCCCTCCTCCCAGTCCTTGGCACTGTGACAAGCGTTTCTCACCCCTGGGGATGTGGGGCTGGAGATGCAAAAGGGAAAGTCACCAAAGCTGAGTTTCAGCTGCCTGCATCCTTGCAGCCAGGGCCAGAGGGCCATGAGGGGTTCCCTAGCTCCCACTGTCCATGCTGGACTCACAGGGCACGGCTCTGCTGCAGGGGCTGGGCTTACCTCCAGGAAGTGATTGCTCAGGGTGGGCCCTGAGTCGTTCTTGAAGGTCTGGCTGACATGGAGATGCCTCTTGTTGCTGCTCTCATCCCAGGGCTTCCCATAGCTCGCCTCCAGTTCAAGCGATTCTCCTGCCTCAGCCTCCAGAGAAACTGGTATTACAGGCACCTGCCACTATGCCTGGCTAATTTTTGTATTGTTAGTAGAGATGGGGTTTTACCACCCTGGCCAGGCTGGTCTTGAACTCCTTACCTCATGATCTGCTTGCCTCAGCCTCCCAAAGTGCTGGAGTTACAAGCATGAACCACTGCACCTGGCCTTGTGTTTTTTGTTTTTTAATTTATTGTTTATTTTAGAGATAAGATGTCACTCTGTTGCCCAGGCTGGAGTACAGTGGCACCATCTTGGCTCATTGCAACAACCTCTGCCTCCTGGCCTCAAGCAACCTTGGATGAATAGACATAAGACTGAGGCTATTGGGACCAAGTTCATCTCTTTGGGGATGAGCTCAGGGTACTCAGATCACCACTTTCCCGACTCTGGTGCTCTCTCTGGCCTGGGCACCCACCTTGTGGCTGAAGGCTGGGATCTGTGTGCAGTGGAGCTCGTGGCCCAACTCCAGCCTGTAGTCACCATCTGAGCCACTCTGTCTGCAGCCTCTGGCTGGTGCTGCACTGGTGCGCTGGCTGCTTTGCCTGAGCTGTAAGGATAAATCAAGGGACCCCTGCCCTCCTCTGCCAGGCAGCCCTCCACCAGGGCTCCAAGAGGAGGAAGTCCCAGCCCAGCCTTGCCTCAGCCATGTGCCCCCAGCCCCGGCCCTGTGCTCTGCTTCACCTGTCACTCCATTAGAATTTGTCCATGGGGAAGTCTTAAGAGATGGATGAATGTCCCCTCAACAGACACTTTTTTTAATGAGCAGGTACTAAGTCCTACTCAGAGCCCACAGAATGACTAATGGAAACTCCTGTAGTGACAGCATATCTTAGCTTGCAGAGCCACAGCCACAGGAAGGAAGCAAGGCAGACCCTGCCACCTCCACCTGCCCCAAAGCCAGACATGTTGGTTTCTTACCCCGGAGGCTGTACTGGATCCTCAGGGAGTTGGTCCAGAGCCGGCCCTGCTGCTGCAGCAGGCCAAGGGAACGCAGCCCCTCCAGCCCTGGCACGAAGAGTTCAGCACCCAGGGTGGCTGCCACCTCCTTCCTTTCCAGCCATGCTGCAGGGACAGAGAGCAGGCAGGTGAAAGGGTCAGCCCCCAGGGACCAACACCCCCAGCCCCAGACAAAGAGGGGACTCGGGAATACCCCAGGGGCCTTGGGTTTGGGCTCCTTGAAGAGTCAACACCTGTGCCCTGCACAACAGACCACAGACAGGCCTGATCATGACTCACTGCAGACTTGATCTCCCAGGCTCAATCAGTCCTCCCACCTCAGCCACCAAGTAGCTGGTACTACGGACATGTGCCACCACATTGGCTAATTTGTGTGTGTGTATACACACATATATATTATATGTACACACACACACACACACACACATTTTTTTGTAGAAACGGGTCTCACTATGTTGCCTAGGCTGGTCTTGAACTCCTGGGCTCAAGCAATCCTCCTGCTTGGCTTCCCAAAGTGCTGGAATTATAGGCAGGGGACACTGTGCTTGGCCCAAGAATAAAGTAGAATGAGGCTGGGTGCAGTGGCTCATGTCTATAATCCCAGCACTTTGGGAGGCCAAGGCAGGCAGATTTCCTGAGGTCAGGAGTTCGAGACCATCCTGGCCAACATAGTGAAACCCTGTCTCTAACAGAAATAGGAAAAAAAAAAATTAATCAAGTGTGGTAGCAGGCACCTGTAATCCCAGCTACTCAGGAGACCGAGGCAGGAGAATCGCTTGAACCCAGGAGGCAGAGGCTGCAGTGAGCCAACATTGCACCATTGCATCCAGTCCCAGCAAGTGTGAGACTGTCTCAAAATAAAGTAGAATGAAAAAAATCAAATAGCACAGATGATGAAAGAACCACACATCACGGGTTGTTGGGTAAATTTCACCATCTGAAGCTTCTGCAACACTGAAGGTCATCCAGAACACACAGGTGGAAATGGGCCAGCTGTTGACTCCAGACACCCACATGAGGTGGTCAACAGCCACCGCTCCAAGTGCCCCCAGCTCCTGTCGCTACCTTGGAATATTTCAGAACCCATAAACGTCACACCCAGGTGCCACCACCCCATCTCTGGCACGAGGCCAGCACCTGCTCAGCCTGTGTGTTTTAAATGCCCCGTGTATTTTAGGTCAAAATGTTACATGTGTTTCTTATCGTGGGTGAGAATAAAAACAGCACCAAATCTGCCATTTTAAGGTTTGTGGGGGCTGTTGGAGGTTGGGGGAGGTTCTGGGGGCTCACACCGAGCCTGCGTCTGTCCTTAGATGGGATATTGATATTGAGAGACTGGGGTGATGAGGACCATCAGGAGGCATTTGGCCCACTCTAGCCTGGCCACGGAGGAGATGGGACACAAGGGGTCTCATCTCCTACCTGTCACGTGGTCCTGGTCACTCAGCAGATGGCTCAGCAATGCAGAGGCCAGCTTGCTGCCCACCTGCCGCATGAGGTTCCCTGTAAAGATGACAGGACCGCCCCCCTCACCCGTTTCATCTCCAGCTGCGCCTGAAACCACTCGGCTTTGCCGACCATGGGTGGCTGCAGATCTCTCTAGCCCTGAAAAGACCTTGGTGTCACCTGGAATGACAGGCTTGGCCAACAAGCCCAGCCATGACCACACAAGCTGGGACTGGAAAGAGGGCAGGAGATGGCCCAGATATTGGCTTTTTATGCCTATCCTTCCCCAATTTTTTATTTTTCTTGAGACAGAGTCTCACTCTGTCACCCAGGCTGGAGTGTGGTGGTGGGATCCTGGTTCACTGCAACCTTCACCTCCCAGGTTCAAGTGATTCTTCTGCCTCAGCTTCCCAAGTAGTTGGGATGACAGGCACACACCACAGTGCACAGCTAATTTTTCTGTTTTTAGTAGAGATGGGGTTTTGCCATGTTGGCCAGGCTGGTCTCAAACTCCTGAGCCCAAGTGATCCACCCGTCTTGGCCTCCCAAAGTGCTGGGATTACAGGCATGAGCCACTGCACCCAGCCCTTCCTCAATTTTTTAAACTCCAGATTTCTCAAAATTAGAAACCTGTGTTACAAACTCAGACATAAATACAAAGGACTCCTCCTCTCTCCTTGACAACCCCCTCTTTGGATCCATCAAGAACTCAGTCAACCCCATCTGCCACCTCCACTGTGCACCAGCTCCAGCCCTGGTCATCACACCCATCTCACTGCAACATCCTCCTGGCTCTCCTGGCTCCCATCCCGCCACTGGCAACTGATCTCCACATGGTGACCAGACACGTCCAATGATGGCACACTAGCGTTTCTTATAGTACAATCCAACGTCCTTAAGAAGGCCAGTGAAGCCAGAACTTTGTTGGTCACTGGTGAAGATACTGGCAGGTGGGCCATGGGGACAGCTCACTACACTCCAAGGCCCCACACGGGAGATCCTCTAGAAAAGCCATGAGCAACTACAAATACCATGTTTGATGGCCCCACCAACCTGCGGACACACCCCTCTGATAGCCACTAGCCGGTCAGTTCACCCAAAAGATGTCAAAACACTCGCTATTACCAGACCGTCACTACTTAATGCTGTGTTCCCCTGATTCCCACCAACATGTGTGCAGATGTGTGTGTATACGAATGTGTGTGCCTCTGTGTGTAGATGTGTATGTATGCAGATATATGGAAATACACAGATATGTACAAATGTGTAGATATGGATGTGTGTACAGTGATGTGTGTGTACATGGATGTGTCTGTGTAGACGTGTGTATGAATGTGTATACAGACGTGTGTGCGGATGTGTGTATATGAATGTATGTGTACAGATATGTCTACATGTGGATGTAGACGCTCGTACCTTTTCCTGCTGACGGGCACATCCTAGCGCCGGCTTTCTCTGTGTGCATCAGAGGCTGCACGGTGGTGTCAGAGCTTCCTCGGGGTGCACGTGAACAGGGTGGGCACAGAATTTGTCTCCCAAACCGTAACACCTTGCAGTTAAAGAGAACACTAGTTACAAATGCGTCAGGTCAGCAGGTGTAAACTGGGGCTCTCCAGGCAACCCAGGACCCAACCCCCTGGGTCCTGGGGGTGGGGGTGCCAAACAGAACGCTTCCTACCCCAACCTTAAATCCCATAAACTTTGAGACAAGTTGAACCCAAGCTCTGGCACTTTGTATTCATGAGCTCATCTGCCTCAGTTTCCTCATCTTGTTTGGGATTATAAAGAGGACTTGAAGAAGGGACCACCTGTCTGCTGGAACAGGCTCCAGAAAGTTACAGAGCACCAGCTGTTACTGTAATTGTGATGAGTCTGCGGCAGATGGAACTAGAATTTTCCAAAGGCAAGTAAACATTTCCAGGCTTCAGACAGCTCTATAGGGAATGGCAGGAAGGTCCGCGGGGAGGTACAAGCAGACTGTGCTTGCACATTTAGCAAATAACACATTCAAGGGCCCCTGGGAGTTCTGGAAATGAGGTAGAAGTTGAGCTGTCAGGCAGGTGGGGCTTTAGGAGGAAGGCGGCTCTTCCCTGACATGGGTCTTCTCCCCATCCAGGCTGACGGCGCAGGTGGAAGTGGGGAGAGCACTTACGCAGCAAGACATCCAGCCTGGCTTCAGATGCTCCACTCCAGGCCTCTCTGAGAAGACACTGCAAACAGAGAATCGGGAGATCCACTGCTGAACGTGCCCAGTGGTCATGCCTGGCAGAATCAAGTCTAAAGCTGCTATTTGTACCCTGGCTGGAGTGCAGTGGCAAGATCTCAACTCACTGCAACCTCTACCTTCAGATTCAAGTGATTTGCCTGCCTCAGCCTCCGGAGAAGCTGGGCCTTCAGGTGTGCACCATCAGGCCCAGATAAGTTTTGTACTTTTAGTAGATACAGGATTTCACCTTCTTGGCCAGACTGGTCCCAAATTCCTGACTTCATACGATCCTCCCGCCTCGCCTCCCAACATTCGTACACTTTTTAAAGTCATCAATCTGCTTGAAAAGGGGATACACATTTTAAATCTTCTCCCCAGGATGGAGGAGACAGACACACAACTTCAACACAATGACAAGGATTTCAAGTGACTCAGTAAGTTCCATCAGGTACCCTTGGGTAAGAACCCTTGAAAAGCATCTACTAAGATGAAAATGAGCCTGGACAACATAGTAAGACACATCTCCACAAAAAAAGAGAAAAAAATATAGAGAAGGGCATGGTGGCACAGGCCTTAGTCCCAGCTACGTGGGAGGCTGAGGCAAGAGGACCACTTGGGCCCAGGGGTTTGAAGCTGCAGTGATCTAGGATCATGCCATTGCATCGAAGACCTTGTAAAAGAAAGAGACAAGTGGGGGAGGGAAAAAAGGGGAGGACGAGGGGGAAAAGACGTGGGGGAAAGGGATGGAAAGAGGTAGGAAAAGAGAGGGAATAGAGGGAGGGAAAGGAAAGAAAAAAAAAAAAGAAAAGAAATGAGAAAAACATAAACCTTGTGGCCAGGGAATTCCACTGTTAAGAATTTACTCTGCAGAGAACGGTGTTCACCACAAAATAATTTTAAGAGAGGAAACCTGGGAAAAACTCCAGAGCACTTCATTATGAAACTAGCTGAATACATTCCATCCCATGGACTGTTACATGGTCATTTGCACTACACGGGAGACACTGATTTTTTTTTTCAGTGGATATATTAACTCCACATGCTGTGTGCATAGACCATCTCGGAAAGGAACCACCAAAACAACCCTAACAGCGGTTGGCTTTCAGGAGGGATGGGAGAGTGGCTTTAAGGCTGCACCGGCACCAACCAATAGAACTTTTTGCAATGAGGACCTTGTTTCAGGACCACCTACAGCTGTGGAGCAACTGAAATGTGGCCCACGCAGCCAAAGAACCAAATCTTTCATTTTCTTTAATGTTAATTCTTCTAGATTTTTTTTCTTCTTTTTTGAGATAGAGTCTCGTTCTGTTGCCCAGGCTGGAGTGAAGGTGCATGATCTTGGCTCACGTCAAACTCTCTTCCCCAGGTTTGAGCAGTTCTCCTGCCTCAGCTTCCCAAGTAGATGGGATTACAGAGGCTCACCACCACATCTGGCTACTTTTTGTGTTTTTAGTATAGACAGGGTTTCACCATGTTGGTCAGGCTGCTCTCAAACTCCTGACCTCAGGTGAGCCACCCAACTCGGCCTCCCAAAGTGCTGGGATTACAGGCATGAGCCACCATACCTGGCCTCACTTAGATTTCAATAAACACATATGCCACTGGCTGCCATATGGAAGACTCAGTTCTATACTCTTTCATAGCTTTTGAACTTTGAATCATTTAAATGCATTGCCTATTTTTTTTGTTGTATAACTTAAATAGTATTTAGATTATATTAATCTAAATGAAATCTACAATCAAATTTAAATTGCACCAGCAAATGCTGATATATAAAGATTGCCAAGGAGTGTGTGTCTGTGTGTGTATATGTATATGTGCATTACGTGTGTGTGTGTGTGTGTATATATATATATATATATATTTCTTTTTTTTTGAGTCAGAGTCTTGCTCTGCCACCCAGTCTAGAGTGCAGTAGTATGAACTTGGCTCACTGTAAACTCCGCCTCCAGGGCTCAAGTGGTTCTCCTGCCTCAGCTTTCCAAGTCACTGAGATTACAGGCACTCACCACCAAGCCCAGCTCAATTTTGTATTTTTAGTAGAGAAGGCATTACACCATGTTGGCCAGGCTGGCCTTGAACTCTTGACCTCAAGTGATCCACCTACCTCGGCCTCCCAAAGTGCTGAGGATTACAGATGTAAGCCAGCATGCCCAGCCACAAATGTATATTTTTGAGTAAAAAAGAGCAAGGAGGTACAAACAAAAAATAGGGAACAACTGGGGGTGGTGGCTCATGCCTGTAATCCTAGAACTGGGGGTGGTGGCTCATGCCTGTAATCCTAGCACTTTGGGAGGCTGAGGTGGGAAGATCGCTAGAGCCCAGGAGGTCGAGGCTGCAGTGAGCCATGTTTTCACCACTGCCCTCCAGCCTGAGTAACAGACCAAGACCCTGCCTCAAGAAAAATTAAAATTAAAATTAAAAAACCAAAACCTAAGCATGACAATTGGGTTTCCATGCCATTGTATGAGATGTGCCTTCCTCAAAACTTGTTACAATATCATCACATCAACCATCTGATGTGAAAAAGAAAAAATAAAACCCAGAAACTCAAACTAAAAATACTTGCAAATCTATAGCGTTATGCGTTGTCTCGTGTCTCCGCAAAAGACGCTGAAGCCCTACGCCGCAGGGTCTGTGGATGGGACCTTATTTGGAAATAGGCTCTTCACACGTGATCAAGCTAAGTTGAGGTGATGAGGAGGAATCCTAATCCCGTGTGCCTGGTGTCTTTATAAAAAGGGATGTGTGGACAAAGACACCTACAAAGGGAAGACAATGTCGAGAGAGAAGACCACCTACAAGCCAAGGAGGCTCTGAGAGTCCAGGAGTGAGACCTGGGACAGACCCTCCCTCACAGCCTTCCATAGGAAAACCAAACAATCAAAAACCCCTTGATTTCAGACTCCTAGCCTCCAGAACTGTGAGAATAGACCTCTGTGGTTGAAGCCACACAGTTTAGGGTACTTTAAGGCAGCGCTGGGAAATGAATGCAGAGTTCTTGGGGCGTGCATCAACACTTCTGCAGGAAATCTGGGACGTGGCATGCTTGAACTTACAATTCATACCTGAATTCTTTTTCTGAGAGACAGGGTCTCACTCTGTCACCCAGGCTGGAGTGCAGTGGCACAAGCATGGCTCACTGCAGCCTCCACCTCCTGGGCTCCAGCAATCCTCTTGCATCAGCCTCCTGAGTAGCTGAGACTACAGGAACATGCCACTGTGCCTGGCTAATTTTTAAAAAATGTTTTGTAGAGATGGGGTCTTGCTATGTTGCCCAGGTTTACCTGGAACTCCTAGCCTCAAGTAATCTTCCCACCGTGGTCACCCAAAGTTCTGGGATTACAGGTATAAGCCATTGTAACTGGCTTGCCTTTTTTTTTTTTTTTTTTGAAAGATAGAATCTTGCTCTATCACCCAGGCTGGAGTGCAGGGACATGATCTCAGCTCACTGCAACCTCCACCTCCTGGGTTCAAGCAATTATTTTGCCTCAGCCTCCCAAGTAGCTCAGATTATAGGCACCTACCACCACACCCAGTTAATTTTTGTATCTTTATTAGACATGGGGTTTCACCACTGGGCCAGGCTGGTCTTGAACTGCTGACTTCAGGTGATCCGCCCACTTCAGCCTCCCAAAATGCTACAATTGTGGCTCACTGCAACTTCTGCTCCTGGGTTTAAGCAATTCTCCTGCCTCAGCCTCCCAAGTAGCTGGGATTACAGGTTCCTGCTAACCATGTGCAGCTAGTTTTTATGCCTTTAGTAGAGACGGTGTTTCACCATGTTGGCCAGGCTGGTCTTGAACTCCCGACCTCAGGTGATCCGTCTGCCTCAGCCTCCCAAAGTGCTGGGATTACAGGCATGAGCCACTGTGCCCAGCCTACTTCTATTATTATTACATTGTAATACGTAATGAAATACTTACACAACTCACCGTAACGTAGAATCAGTGGGAGCCCTGAGCTTGTTTTCCTGAAACTAGATGGTCCCTTCTTGGGGTGATGGGAGACAGTGACAGATCAACGGGCATTGGATTCTCATAAGGAGCATGCAGCTCAGCTCCCTTGCATGTGCTATTTACAGTAGGGTTTGAGCTCCTATGAGACTGTACCACCACCAATCTGACAGGAGGTGGAGGAGCTCAGGCAGTGATGCCAGCAGTAAGCATCACTGTGAACACAGATGAAGCCTCCCTCGCCCACCAGCTGCTCACCTGCTGTGCTGCCTGCTCAGTGCCCAGTTCCTAACAAGTGAGCCCGGTGTGGTGGCTGACGCCTGTAATCCTAGCACTTTGGGAGACTGAGGTGGGTGGGTCACCTGAGGTTGGGAGTTCAAGACCAACCTGACCAACATAGAGACACCCTGTCTCTACTAGAAATACCAAAATTAGCCTGGCGTGGTGTCTCATACCTGTAATCCCAGCTACTTGGGAGTCTGAGGTGGGAAAGTCACTTGAATCTGGGAGATGGAGGCTGCAGTCAGCCAAGATCACGCCATTGCATTCCAGCCTGGGCAACAAGAGCAAACTCTGTGTCAAAAAAAAAAAAAAGGCCGGGTGTGATGGCTCACACTTGCAATCCCAGCACTTTGGGAGAATGAGGAGGGTGAATCGCCTGAAATAAGGAGTTCAGGACCAGCCTGGCCAGCATGGTGAAACCGTGTCTCTACTACAAATACAAAAATTATCCAGGTGTGGTGGTACATGCCTGTAATCCCAGCTACTCAGGGGGCTGAGGGAGAGAATTACTTGAACCTTGGAGGTGGAGGTTACATTGACCCGAGATTGCACCATTGCACAGAGTGAGACTCTGTCTCAAACAAGAACAGAAACAGGCTACAGACTGGTAGTGATGCATGGCCGGGAGGATTGGGGACCCCAGCTGTAGACAGTATGTAACGATCAAATCCGGGGAACTCACAGTCATCACCTCAAATATTTATCTTTTTTGGGGGGGAGGGGAACACAAAAATCCTCATTCACTGTAATTTCCCTTGGACATTATTGATTACTGTAACTTATTCCTTCTATCGAGGCCTTCTTGTCTTTCATTCTTTTTTTAAATTATTTTTATTTCTAAGACAGTCTCTCCCTTTTTGCCGGGCTAGAGTGCAGTGGCACAATCTCGACTCACTGCAACCTCTACCTCCTGGGTGCAGGCAATTCTCCTGCCTCAGCCTCCCGAGTAGCTGGAATTACAGGCGTGCACCACCATTCCTAGCTAACTTTTGTATTTTTAGTAGAGATGGAGTTTCACCATGTTGTCCAGGCAGGTCTCAAACTCCTGACCTCAAGCAATCCACCTACCTTGGCCTCCCAAAGTGCTGGGATTACAGGCATGAGTCACAGCACCTGGCCTTTCATTCATTCTTACATTCATTTATTCCACAAATAACTACTGCCTGGTTATCATATATCCGGTGTGGTTCCAGGCTCTGGGCAAAGAGCAATGAGCAAAACAAAGCTGCTGCTCTCTTAATGGATCCATCATTCTAAAGAGGGGGAAAGAGACAGGCGATCCATGAACAAACCATTAACACAGACAGCACATCAGGTGAGAGCACTAGGAAGAACAAATACCAAAGCAGGTGCGGCCAGTGCGGTGGCTCCCGCCTGTAATCCCAGCACTTTGGGAGGCTGAGGTGGATGGATCCCTTGAGGTTAGGAGTTCAAGACCAGCCTGGCCAACATGGGGAAATGCCATCTCTACTAAAAGTACCAAAAAAAAAAAAAAAAAAAAAAAAAACCATGAGCCAGGTGTGGTGGCACCTGCCTGTAATCCTAGCTACTCAGGAGGCTGAGGCAGGAGAATTGCCTGAACCCAGGAGGCGGAGGTTGCGGTGAGCCGAGATCGCACCATTGCACTCCAGCCTGGGTAACAAGAGCGAAACTCCGTCTCAAAAAAAAAAAATAAATAAATAAATAAATAAATAAGTAAGTAAGTAAAGGGAAATCAGGTGCAGGTTAGAGTGCACTAGCACAAGCAGGGGTGCTGTGGTGGTGGAGAAGGTGGTCAGGTAAGGCCTCTCTGTGAAGGTGATAGACATGAGGGCTGAGCCTGGGGGCTCCTGGGAAGAGCAGCATGGGAGGGCTCTAGGTATTGGTCCCATTTGTGGTCCTTTTGTTTTGTTTTGTTTTTGAGACAAAGTCTTGCTCTGTTGCCCAGGCTGGAGTGAAGTGGCACAATCTCGGCTCACTGTAACCTCTGCCTCCCGTGTTCAAGCGATTCTCCTGCCTGAGATTCTGGAGTAGCTGGGATTATAGGTGCCTGCCACCATGCTCAGCTAATCTTTGTATTTTTTAATAGAGACCACATTTTGCCGTGTTGGCCAGGCTGGTTTGGAACTCCTGACCTCAGGAGATCCACCTGCCTCGACCTCCCAAAGTGCTGGGATTACAGGCGTGAGTCACCGTGCCCGGAGGAGGCCACACAGGAGGCTGGAGAAACAGTCCCAAGTGACAGATGGACATTGGGACAGCTGGGCTCTCCATCCCCCTTCCCTCCCTCCCTGTCTCAGGCCTTTCTTTCCTTTCTTCCCTACTCCTTTCTTCTGCTCTCCTGCCTTTCTTTCTGCCCTCTCTTTTTTCTCTCCCTCCCTCCCTCCCCCTTTCTTCCTTCCCTCCCTCATTCCTTCTCTTCCTCTTTCAACTCTTTCCTTCCCTCCATCTGTCCTCCCCTTTCCTCTTTCCTTCCCTCCCTCCTTTTTACTCCTCCCCTCCCTCTTTTTTCCCCTCTCTGCCTTCCTCTCTTCCTCCCTTCTCCCCTCCCTCCTTTCTGAGGTAGTTCTCAAACATTTATTCAGCACCTTATGTATGCATGGCGAGCACTAGCTAGCTACTGAGTCTGCCACAGTGAATGGCCTGTGCTGCTGTGGATCCTCCAATCTAAGGAGAGCGAGGCCATCAGCCCCTGCCGGGCGCTTCCTGAAGGGCCCTTTAGGAAGTGGGAAGTGCTGGAGAAAAGCAAAAATGAACCCAGGACAGGCCACGGGAGGGAGCTGCTGGGAGGAGAGGGATGGGCGGGCGTGTCCTTGCTGGATGGTGGTGAGGGAGGCGGCCCTGACTGCAGGGGGTGCTGGAGGGGACAAGGGTCTTCCGGAGTGAGGGTGGTCCAGGCAGAGGGAACAGCTAAAGCAGATGCCTGGAGAGATGTGTGAACATCAGGCAGGTGTGAGGATGGGAAACAGGGTAGGTGGGAAAGGGAGGGAGGGTGGAAAGTGAGGCTGGAGGCAATGAGGCAGCTCAGGACAGGCCTAGTGGGCTACTGTGGGGCCTTTGGCTCAGACTGAGGAAAATGGGGTGCTGTGGGTCTGAGCAGAGGAGGGTACAATAGATTCAGCCCACACAGGTCTCCTGTGGCTGGAAGTGGAGAGAGGCTGGGGAAGAAGGAAGGATTGAGCCAGGGCCTTGCTGCTGGATGCATTTTCAAGATGATGCCAAGAAAATCTGCTAGCTGATGGGGTGCAGGAGAAAAAGGCATTGATCTGACCCAAGGTCTGGGGTCTGAACACTGGAGGGAGAAGCTGCCTTCCAATGCGATGGGGAAGGAGCGGGGCAGGTCTGCACAATGGACAACACACAGAGACAAGAACAAAGCCAGACCCACCGGCTCCCACTCAGCTCTGCCCTCCCCATCGCCCACACCAGGGCCTGTCTTCCTCCCTGCTTCCTGCCTGGTCCATCCCTTTCCCAAAAGCCGAACCTGACCATGATTCCTCTTCTTGGTGATGAAGAAATTCAGGAGGCGGCGGCTCAGGAAGACAGCGATGGCGGAGGGACCCAGGAGCTGGTGACAGAGGAGACAGAATGTCAGGAGATCCCAAGGAGCCCAGCTGCCAGAGGCGTGTGAACCACAGCAACTCCATCTTAGATAGGAGCTGGGTAAAAGGAGGCTGAGACCTACTGGGCTGCATTCCCAGGCAGTGAAGGCATCCTGAGTCACAGGATGAGACAGGAGGGCAACACAGGGTACAGGTCACAGAGACCTTGCCCATAAAACAGGCTGCAGTAAAGAAGCCAGTCCAAAACCCCCCAAAACCAAGATGGTCAGGAGAGTGACCTCTGGTCATCCTCACTGCTACACTGCCACCAGCGCCATGACAGTTTACAGATGCCATGGCAACATCAGAAAGTTGCCTTATATGATCTACAAAAGGGGAGTCATGAATAATCTACCCCTCGTTCAGCATGTCAGGAAGAAACAGCCCTAAAGATGGGCACCAGCGCCCTCTGGGCTGCTCTATGGAGCAGATAGAATGTATCTTTCCTTTCCTAAAAAACTTGCTTTTTTAGGAAAGAATAAACTTGCTCTGTGGTTCACATCTGTAATCACAGCACTTTGGGAGGCTGAGGCAGGCAGATCATCTGAGGTCAACAGTTCGAGATCAGCCTGGCCAACATGGTGAAACCCTGTCTCTAACAGAAATAAAAAAATTAGCCAGGTGTGGTGGCAAGCACCTGTGATCCCAGCTACTCAGGAGGCTGAAACAGGAAAATCACTTGAACCCAGGAGGCATAGGTTATAGTGAGCCAAGATCACACCACTACCCTCTATCTAGCCTGGGCAACAGAGTGAGACTCCATCTCAAACAAACAAACAAAATAAAACAAAACAAAACAAAAAAAACCTAACCAACCAAACAAAAAATGTGCTTTCACTTTACGGACTCGCCCTGAAATGTTTCTTCCGCAAGATCCGAGAACCCTCCTTTGGGGTCTGGATCAGGTCCCCTTTCCTGTAACACAACTGCAGATCCTGAAGGGGGTCAGACTTGGTTCTAAGATGGGTAGTCGGGGAAGGTGATAAGGGCAGTCACCAGGTCCCAGGGATCTGGGCTCATGGGGGTCTGCTGGGTCAGGAGGCGCCGAAGATGGGGTCCTTCAATCTTGGGGGGAATCACCCACTTACACGATGGGGAGAAGGTTCTATTCAAGACAGAACATGCACACACACGGGTAGGACTGGGGAGTGTTCCTGGCCACAACAGTGACGTTGAGACCTCTGGAATCAGGACCGGGTTCAAATCCTGACTCTGACGATCGTGAGGGTGGCCTTGGGGCAAGTCACCTCCCTAACATGCAATTCCCTCGTCTGCAAAATGGGAACAGAGTTGTCCTGATTTTGCATGTTTGCTGATTACAATTAACTATTTTCCTAATCTTCATTTTACCCTCATGAGGGTTGTCAGATTGAGCAAATCATCATATAGATGCCCAGTTACATTTGAAGACAAAGAGTGAATAAAGTTTTCGTCTAAGTCTCATGCACTATTTGGGACATACACTGAGAGTCCGAAGCTCTCGCTTCACTGGATGCCCTGTGTTTTCTCTGGCAACCTTGCTTCCCACCAACATGGTGCTTTTGGGATACTTATCTTCCTCCTCTCAGCTTTGGTTTCTATATCTGGAAAATGTGGAAGTGGGAGGTAGAATAAATGATTTTCAAGCTCCTGTGACTTTCTGAGAGTCCTTCACAGGTTACTCGAACCCATTCTTTTGCCAAGCCCCACCCCAACTTCAGTCTGCATGCCTCAGTTTCCCCTGTCAGTCCTTAGGAATACCTTTTTTTTTTTTTTTTTTTTGAGATGGAGTCTCGCTCTGTTACCCAGGCTGGAGTGCAGAGTCACGATCTTGGCTCACTGCAACCTCTGCTTCCCAACCAATTCAGCTGTCTCAGCCTGCCGAGTAGCTGGGAATGACAGGCGTGCGTCACTATGCCTGGCTAATCTTTTGTGTTTTTAGTACAGACAGGGTTTCACCATGTGGCCAGGCTGGCTCGAACTCCTGGCCTCAAGTGATCTACCCACCTCAGCCACCCTAAATGCTGGGATTACAGGTTTTACCCACGGCACCCAGCTCAAGGAAAAGAACACTATTTTCTAATCTTGGGTCAGTTTGTTTCATTTATGCAGCAGTGGCGCCACCTGGTGGCTGCATGGAGAAGTGCCCTGAGGGTAAACTGCCCACAGCAGGGGTTGGAAAAAACACTCAAAGGAATCTGACAGAAGATGCGCATCTCTCTCTGGGAGAAAAACGGTTCATTAAACTGTAGCAACCCCAGTATCTACCCCTCCTTCACCAAGATCTCATGGTGATGTTAGGAGCTGTCTACCGAGAGGCAGGAAAAGTGCACAGGGAAAGTGACATGGTGCATTATCTGCGGATATCTTGGTCTTCTCGGATTTCTTTTTTTTTTTTTTTTTTTGAGGTGGAGTCTTGCTCTGTCCCTCAGGAGTGCAATGGTGTAATCTCGTCTAACTGCAACTTACACCTCCTGGGTTCAAGCAATTCTCCTGCCTCAGCCTCCTTAGTAGCTGGGATTACAGGCACCTGCCACACCACACCTGGCTAATTTTTGTATTTTCAGTAGAGATGAGGTTTTGCCAACATCTCAAACTCCTGACCTCAAGTGATCCACCTACCTCAGCCTTCTAAAGTACTGAAAGTACAGGCATGAGCCACTGCGCATGGCCTAGTCTCTGATTTTCAGCGACGATGGTGTCAACCTGATCAATTGCCCTGAATTTTCCCATGTTCTTCCTCTCTCATCTCTTTCTTCCTAAGGATGACATGTATGCACTGCACATCAAGCACTGAGTGCCTTCTATTGTACTTGCTAAGCACCTATTGTTTGCAAGGCCCTGGAATACAAGGTGACGGCATTAGAAAAGGTCCTGGTCCCAGTCCTGGCAAAAACA